GGGTGACATGGTCTAGTATGAGGTGTCCCTGCCCATGGCAGGAGGGTTGGAACTAGATGATCTTAAGGTCGCTTCCATCCCTAACTATTCTGTGACAAAGCTCAAAAGTTGAAACAAGAAAACATGGGGTGGGGGGCCTAAAAACAGATGTTTTGAGGCTCAGTTTCAAAGCAAACATATCACCATAATGAAAAATATCCTGGAAAAACACGCTGTTCTCCCCACACAGCTCCACTTGTCACCAGCCCTGCTCAGGATGCACAGAGAAGCGGGTTTAGCCCTGGCATGGTGTGGAGCCCCTGTGTCCATGGGACTATCTATCCCCTTGCTTTGGCTGCTGACAGCCCCAGGCAGTCTCAGAAAGGAAAAAGAGGTGTCTGCAAGTCTGGATGGGGAATCTGCAGCATGCTGGAGTCCATGGCAAAAATCATACTGATGTTTCTAGCCCTGCACTGCATCTTCATATGCCATGCCCCTGGTCACATTCAGAGTTCTGGGTTTTTTGGCCCAGCCCAACTGGTGCTGTAGACAGCCCTCCAGCATCCTCAAGGAGAGGAAAAGTATCTGCTGGGGAACCCTGCTAGGATGTTTACCCCCTTTCACTGGGATTTGATATGCAAAATTTGGACCTTTTAAAGTAAAACAGCTGTGGTTTCAAACCACAGCCTTAGCCCAAGGGTCAGGAGATTATCCCTAAGGTCTCTGTGAAAGGTAACACAGAGGAAGCAAGGTCACAGCCTTAAACTTGCTGCGTTAAGACTGCACTAGGAAATGTATAAAGATCCACAAATCAAAAGATGTGGAAAAGCATTGGTTTAGATGGTTTCAAAAGCACATTTCCAATGTTGGTTTTTTTTTTTCACTCAGTAGCTCTTTAGATATGTGGATCTTTTTCCCCCTCTAAGGAATTCTTACAAACCAAAATACTCCCTTAGTCCCAGAAATGACAATGTTGACTTAATTCCACTCACCGGGCAGTAAAGGGGAACAGAAAATGTGGAGACAGACTAATGCTGTAGTTTTTAATTCAGCTTTCTCACCTTATTCCAATATGAGATTAATTAATTTTACAACAGAAACTCTATTTCCATTAGATATACCTGCATTTTTGTATAAATCCTCAAGCCAGCCCACTGCAGTCCAGATGGCAACTGCAGGACAATGCTCGGGCTGTGTTCTCGCAGCGTTAGAGGGGTTTGAATCTCTGGCTATAGTTTTAAATCCAGACTAAAGCAGCTAAGAGGCAAAGTAAAACACACAGCACCCACTGTTAAGTTACATTATCTTGTTGCACTCAGAGTCACAGCTTGCTGTGGGCCAAGGTCTGGGTTCCCGATGCAGCTATAGCTTCAAACACATGGTTAAGAGCAGGCTGATGCTAAGCCAGCATCCTGGCACTCCGCGGATCTGCCCAGTAAGGCCCGATTAAAGAACAGGCTGTTAGCACGTGACTGAGGTTAAAGACACGCGCATATGCTGGTTTGGATCTGGGCCTGCAGGCCAGGCTCAACCACACTGACTTCCACCTTGGTTTCTGTGCCTGGTGCTCCCTAATGGACAGCTCTCAGCTTTCAGGGTATTTTTAACCAGTAAAAAAACCTCACTGTACAGAGATCAGTATTGATACAAGGCTGTAGGCAGAATCTAGTCCACAGCCCACTAAAAAATGGGCAAAACCTGATTGCCTTGGGAGCTTGTGGAAGGGTCTGAAATACAAGCAGAAAGGAAACTGTCCTTCCCTATGCATATCTTTTCCTGTTTCACATTAGCACTTAGGCTTTTACTGGGAAAACATTGCTTTGTGTGTTACAGCACGCACATCCATAAGCAGAATTGGGTTTAAAATACACATCCAAGTCAGGGAGACTGATGGAAGAGCTTATTTGTCTCTTAAAAACCTCAAACATTTTCAACATGAACTAAACCGATTATCCTGGGTTCAGCAGTAGCAGTCATTTCTCTTCTTAGTAGCTGGTGCAGCACTGTTTTTTTTTTACTTTCAGCCTGGGAACAATGCTGATAACACTGATGTTTTTACTTGTTGCTCAGTAATGTTTACTCTGACCAAGGACTTTCTGAGTTTCATGCTCTGCCAAGGAGGAAAGGAAGCCAGAAGGAAGCAAAGATAGGACACCTGACCCAAACTAGCCAAAGAGGTATTCCATACCACAGTACGTCATGGCCAGTATATAAACTGAGGGGAGTTAGCTGGAAGGCCCAGATCACTGCTCAGGTCGGGCTGGGTATCGGTCGGCAGGTGGTGAGCGGTTGTATTCTCTTCCCTTGTTATTTCCCTTATCATTATTATTATTGGTGGTAGCAGTAGTGGTTTGTGTTATACCTTAAGTACTGAACTGTTCTTATTTCAACCCATGGAGCTACATTCTTTTGATTCTCCTCCACATCCCTCCGGGACTTGGGGGAGGAATAAAGAGGGAGTGAGTGAGCAGCTGCGTGGTTCTGAGTGGCCAACTGGGCTTAAAACCACAACACCGATATAAATTGAAGTTATGTCCTGTACAAATTCCATCTGTCCTGGGTTGATACGTCATCTAAGGGCTGATCCTGAGGTCTGACCTGGAGAATCCAATTTGCCAGCCTATTTGCACACTGATTTGCAAACTGCACAAAGAAAATAAGATGGTTTTGTTGGTGCATGCTGCTTCTAGCAGCCAATTAGACCAAAAGAAAATGGATGCAGCAGTCATGGAGGTCTTTGGGTCTGCTAGCGAGATAGTGGCTCTTGAAGCAAAAAAGATACAGGATACTAAATCCAGTTGCAGATGTAAAAGGAAGGTTTGCTTTGCTGCTTGGGATATTGGTCCAGGGTATGGAAAACAAGGTTTCTATTTTCTGTTCACCTGGCCAGATGTTGTAGCAACACTTGCTTGAAAACACTTTATTCCTAGGTGTGCAGTGCCATGTTATGCTCGTAGGACTTTAACCAGCTGGAGATCACAGCCAGCCTCCGTTATCTAAATCTGCTCTTGGTAAGTGTGCCATGACATGACTTCACTGCATTACAACTGTTCCTGAAGAAAGCTGGCGCAACGGCTGGTAATTAAACCTTTGGCTGATGGAAACTGTTAAAAATGGATTGCTGCTTTGCCAACAGCGTTACAGTTAACCACTCAAAAGCCTTTATACTTTTTCTATAAAACACGTGGAAGTTTTATGCCTGGAATATCTATGACAATAAAATGAATGTGGTGCTTCATTTTTGTTTGTAGCATTAAAAATTGGAAGAGAAAAAAGAACTATGGTTCAAGAATGAGATCTGGAGTTTGCATTCTGCAAAGCACGCTCAGTTGATAACTATGGGTTTGGTACAGCCCAGTACAGTGATTTAGATATCAGGACAGATTTAGATTCCAAATTCTTATACAGGCATCTAAAAGAGAACTAGGTGCCTGCACCTTGTTGTAGGCCAACCCTTGTTGGGCTGGCCAACACTGATTCATTGTAAAATTCAAACTGACACCTGGTTCTGCCCTCTGGACTCCCTGAGAGCATTGGAGTCAAGGCTGGGTGATGGTTCTTGTCCAGACCTCTTCTGTGCTCAGTCAGGCTTCCTAATGGAAGCCATAATTCTGTCTGAAGGGCTGCTCAGCACCCGCCTGCTCCAGGCTCACCCAGGAAGGACCTCCTGGTCAGTGCTGACACAACCAAGATAACCACAGTCCCCTTCTCCTGTGATGGATTCCCGAGATTCCTCCACTCAGTATCAAGGTCTACAGCTGAGCTGCAGGTGAAAAATGGTGGCACTTCTGTTCCCCAAAGGAACTCGCCCAAATCCAACCAGAAACATTTAACGCCTGCCAGTGAGTGGCAGTTCAGGGCCGCCTCTCCTCTGGCCGGGGCTGGTATTTATGGGATGCATTAGTCACGCAGGAGTTGTTAAAAGTGCTGCTGCGATAAATTGCGAAGTCATACATGGCCATCGAGTTATGAGTTTGCTCTGGGAGACAGCAATACTTCAGAGCTTGACTAATCCCTTACAGATTTGAAACGGGGAGGGATGTGGTTAGGCACTGAAAATGTCCCCGTTTTATTGCCGATGATGTATTATTTAAGCCTCCAGTCCCCTGGACTGCTTCAGTTAAGCCTGGGGCTCGTGCCTTTGTACTCCAGCCGGCTTTCTCCCAGTGGGAGGTAAGCTTGTCTGCAAGACCTCTGATAGGCTTAAAGCTGCCAGTTTCGGCTGGATGGAAAAAAACCCCACGGTTTGGTAGCTACTGAGAGAATACTGCCGTATGCTGCAGGACCTCTTCAGTTTACACCTAGGGATGGAAATATGTGTGCGCATCCATTGTGCATAATGGTCAAAGCAGACATTCAGAAACATTACCACGGGTACAGTAGTAGTTTTCCTTGCTGATTTCTTCATGGTGGTGTCACTTTTAACTCACTGAATCATATCGGCACTCACCCAGCTGTGCAATATCCCGGCCTTACTGCTCCCTTACTACACAGGTCCCAAAGCCATGCTCTGTATACTGTCCAAATGCAGTTCTAGATGTGCTGGAGCAGGCATCTTACCTGCTCCTATAACTGCTTAATAACAAATCATAAGTGACGAGGGGGTATGTGTGGTGATGCTCCTTGAGGCTTACTTATCTGGGAGCGGCTTCTCCATTTATACCTCATTAGCGGGGACTCACTAAGCTCTTTATTCACTGCACTCTCAGGAGCCTCTGGGAGGTGCCCTGTGCAGCCTCCCACGCACAGCGGAGCTGCACATGTCGTGTGCCGAGCGCCCTGCTGCCCGCCTGCTGCGCCAGGAGCTCTGTCCCACGGACTGAGCGCTGGGGCTGCCCCGCCGGTGAGCGGCAGCAGGGCACAACCCCACGGCCTCCGCGCCCGGTCACCTCCGGAGCCGTCCCTTCTCCCCCTGCTCCCATCCCCCTCACCTCAGGACGCCATCTCCCAACCCCGCCCCCGTCGTGTTGCCGTGGAGGCGCGAGGCTCCCCGGCGCTGCCGGCTAGGGCTGTCTACGGCGTTCGCCTGAGGCGAATGGACGGCGGTGGTGGGGCAGCCGCGGGCCCTGCCTGCCGGGCGTCTCGTCAGCGGAAGGAGGAAGCGTCATGGCCGAGGCCTGGTCTGGCTTCTCGCAGGAGGAGTTGCGGCGCCTACGGGCCCAGCGCCCAGGTACGGACCGCGACTGGGCTCTGGCGGGACTCGGGACCGGGCCTGCCGTAGTGCCTGTCCCGGTTAGTGGGGGGCGGCGGTGCTGGGAGCGGCGCGGAGGAGCTTACGGGCCTTTGGCACCCGGTCAACCGCTGCAGCTGCACCTACCTCCCTTCGTCTTCTCAGCCTCCCGGCCCCTCAATCCCCTATATCCACATCTCTGTCCATCCTCTCAGCTCTTCCAGACCATCCCTGCAGCAAACATCTCTGGTTCTCCAGGGAGTCCCTTGTTTCCCACGCCCATCCCTCGGCCCCGCCTGTCCCATACTCCATCTCTCACTGCTCCCATTTATCTTCCGTCCAGCTCCTCTGTCCCTCAACCCGCAAATCTCTGATACATTTCCAGGTGCTCTAGCTCTTGCCCTGCACTTCCTGTACACTACCCTACCCATGTTCCTATGTGGATTCCATATGTAGCTTCCTCTGTGTCTGTCAACTTGTTCTTCTCTATTCTTCACTTTATAACCCCCTAGTTTGTCCACCAGACTGTCTGGCACCTTTCTTTAGTTCTAGGCCCATCTCTCCATCATTGCCCTAAGCATTACCTCACTCCTACCTATGGTTCTTCCTTTAGTCCTGTAGTCCAGGCCTCTTCTCATTTTGTATGTTCAGATCCTTTAAAACTCTTGATTCTTATGCTAACAAAATATTTCCAGGTTCCTCGGTGTACCCGTATGTTGCCTTCCCTTGACAACCCTGCATGTCTTAAGGTGCTTTTGCACCAGTTGGCTTGCCTAGAAAAGCTTATTCACAGAGTGTGTCTTTGATCTTAAGACTTGGTTTTAATATTGTTTCTGCCTCTTGTCCATTGATAGATTTGTATGAACCCTCAGAGCAACAGCATCGCCCCCACACTACAAGTAAGAGTCGGAAGCAATCCCTGCAAGAAAAAGCTCTCCAGAAGCAATGTCAGAAGCTGGGACTGCAGGGTGGAGCAGCTTCTGTGCCTCCTGAGCAGTTACTTTCTGTACCAAAACACAAACCTTGTCATCCCCAGCAGCTTGTGCCACCACCTCACCCTCCTTCAGCAGGAGACCAAAGGCAAAATGACAACCGAGACCAGCAGAAGGAAGTGACACCAGTAGATCCTTGTAATGGCAGTGACAGTGTCCAGACCCACCCTGCAAAGCCCAACTCCAAAGTGGAAAAAAAGAAAGTGGAATTGTTAGTAAGTTGGTAAAATCAGGGGATGGGTTTTATTGTTCTGTATTGATTCATTCTTTTGTTGTAAATTAAAGTGAACTTTTCTGTATCTAATAGGAAGGTTTGAGAGATCGTGTTTGCTGTCTCTGCGCTCAACCTTTGCTTTTCACATCTGATTGTCTTAAACCTGACTAAGGACCAAATTCTGTAGTGTAATACGTGCAGATATGCACCATGCTGTCTTCGGGTAATTTCCTGTGGTATTAGAACTGTACATCATAAAGTGTCCAAGATGTAGGACTGTCTTAATGGTTTATGAAGACTTAATCTCACCATCGAGCTGTGTATGCAAGCCAGCAGCCACAACAGAAAGCCCTTTTGGGAGTAGGTATGCTCTGATTTGTGTAACTATGCTTTCCCTTTACAATATTGCTGCAGATCTGTGAATGCCAAAGTCTTGGTAAGGATGTAAAATTTCAGGTTTAAGCAGTTCTCTGGCTTTTATGATTCAAGATGAGACCAATCTCAAGGCTCTCACCCTGTGCATCAGCCAACAGTGGGTTGCTTCTGCTTCCCGCAGAAGCTTTGAAGTGATGCATGTAAGAGAGAGAAAGGAACAAGTTCTGAACATGGCTCTCTGGGAGTCTGATTGAATATGGCAATTACACGAGTTCATCACCCAGAATTCTAGATGATAGCCTATAAAAGGAAGCTGCTGTCTAACTGCTAGAGAGGGCAGTCATTTCCGGTGTGAGAAATTACTTGGTTTTACCTCTTGATGTTTGTCTTCTTGTTTGTATCCCCAGGCTAATTTTATTTTCTTCCTCAGTAGGCAAAACAAGATTTGAGGGGCAAAAGGATTAATTCTTTTTCTAGGGCATATGGTTTATTTTTAGAGCACTCTATTTTTAAAACAATGCTGCTGCAGCTTTGAGTTTCTATACAGGTCCAAACTCTTCTGCCCAATATAATCAACAAACACTAGCTGGCCACTAAACTTCCTTGCATGATTTGTATTCCCCCAAAACAGGGATGAGCAGCTTTTCAGGTGTGGTGTGCCAGACCCAGTGGCTGGTTAGATCTGTCTGTAGGCTCTCAGGTGACTGAAGGTCCTTCCTGCTGGCGAGGCAGTACGGTGGCAGTCAGCAGCAGTTGTGTGGAGAGATAGTACATAGCTTCTTCCAAATTCAAAACTCTAAAGGATCCAGGAGGTTCTCTTTTGCAGAGGTTTACTTTGAGAGGCTAGAGCTGCTGGCCATGCTGCTGCCGTTTACCGGACAAGCTCCTGGCTGGAATCGACTACCTGCAGATAGCTGTCCCGTCAGCAGAAGAGCAGCACTTTGAAAAGCAGTACTAAATTCCTCTTGTGGGTGCAGCTCACAGTAGTACTGGCTGCTCATAGTGGAAAACTACACTTTGACTGGGGAAAAGATATCTAAAACTTTGCAGAGAGATTTTCCCTCTCTGGGAGCAAATGACACTTAGTCGCAACAACCACCCCCTGAACCTGCTGAATTAATCTTAGCTTGTGCATTTGAGTTTAATCTTCTGAAAATATTTATATGAAGTTGTAGGAATAGGGTGTTGAGGAGAACTCTGAAGAGATATTCTTGTGCAGATACAGTTAAAATTAACATAGCCAAGTTACTTGGGTGTTTTTAAGCTAAGTTATTTTTAAACTGAGACTTCTTGAAAGAGGATATGAAGAATACAACCCAGTAGAAAAGCAGCAAAGCAGGTTTTGTGTCTCCTTAATCCTGCCCAGCTGTGTTGACACACGTTGTCTCCTCTTGCTTTCTGTCCTCTGGGGTTAGTTGTATCTCTTAGTAGATGTGGCCTAGGAAATGGAATCCATATAACTCTTTCCCTGGTGGCAAAACTGAATTCTTTTTCTTCCCTGTTGCTCATTTTCACTGCAGCTTTTACCAGCCTTTCATTTGTACCAGTTTAATTACTGTGGACTGTATTATAAAACAGACCTGTGAAATTATCTGTTTTATGGAAAAAACATTTCCAAAAGAGCGGCTGTGTTGGCAGACTGAACAAATGGTTCCTAGTAGCAGGTCTAGAAACTTGAAACTGCTTCTACCTAGTGGGGAAGCACATCCTTTAAATGAAAAATTCAATCAATTTCTGAAAAAGTGCACCATGCTCTTTCTTCTAGCAAAGCTGAATTAAACAGAAGCTTACTTGCTTATGAATATTTGTGTTCTGATCAGCAGATTTCATCTGGAAATGTTTTATTGGTCTGAAAGACTTCTTGCAGATGATTATTCTTTCCTCAGAACCAAAACCTGTTTATTGTTCCTTTGACATTTTTAGAGTTTACTGTAGGATATATGATGGTGAATATTTGTGTCATTTGGGGAACAGGTGGAGAAATGAACTTTCTGTTCATTTTAATCTTCTTGCTAATGAGCAGGCAGGAGAAATCTCGATGGGAAATCCTCCAGCAAGAGCAACGGCTGATAGAAGAGAAGAATAAACGGAAGAAGGCACTCCTGGCCAAAGCTATTGCTGAGAGGTAAGGGGCTATACTAAACATGGGCTGAGGCTGAGGAAGGGATTACTTTTCATCTGCAACCAGTTGCATATCTTCTGTTTAAGTCTCACTTTTTCCTCTTTTCTATGCTCTGTGTATACTGCTCCACAAATGAGCAGCTGTGATCAACATTTCCCTTTGATGACAAGTGCTGGCTAAGAAGTTGTGACAAGCTTTTCACCCTTCCAAAGCTGCAGCTCTGTGCCGAGATGGAAAAGTTATCTCAGAATTTGAGGATTAACTGACATCCTTGTACCTGTCAGTAAGGGTATATTTGGAAGTTGAGCTTGAGTGCTCATCCCTGCTCCGTTCCTGATTTGTTTTCACTGGATTTAAAGAAAGTTTACTTGATTCCTAACCTATGAAGGGAAACTATGACTATGCCTGTTTGGGCTTTTGACTTATTAGTATGTGAAAAGTGTTGAGAAGATGATCCACTTTAAGAAGGTATAATTGTACCTCTGGCTGATTAGAAATTATAAAAATTCTTATGTGCTCACAGTTGTTAGCTCTTGCTCTTCAGGGGACCAGACTTTAGGCATTGTACAGGGTTGTCCACCAGGATAGTTTAAGACTAAGGGAAGGCAAGGTGTGTAGGGAAGTATATTAGAGCAGCTGATAACACTGTATCAAGGAAGGAGGTGTGAAGCTTTCAGGCTTACAGTGCTCTCCCAGATATGTACTATGTTCTGCCCATCAAATTCTTCCGTAGCAGAGGTGAATGTAGCCAGTGCTATGCAGAATGTTCTCTTTGGAGTTCTGAAGGATTTATTTACCTCTGCCAGGCAGAGATAAAACACATTTGATCTGAATCACTCTAGGACACCAAACATGGGTGTGCCCAGGCTGAGTACTTCCTCCTGGAAGCAGAGCATGAGAAAGAGAGCAGGACTTGGGAGGTGATAGTTGTGTCTGACATTCAAAGGCCTCCTTCAGTCTCTCAGCAGTACTATACGATGTCTCTTTCTCTCCACCTTCATCAGCTGGTCTAATAATGAGAGATGGTGTTACTTCCTACATATAGAATTGTAGAAGGGTTTGGGTTGTAGAAGAGACCCTAAAGATCACATCTAGTTTTGCTTTCAAGTACTTGCTTTGGGGTCTAAAGCAGTGGCTAAGAAGCATGGTTTTGCTGGTGGTGATGAATGACAGCAAAGTCACCTGGTGTAAAAGCTTGTTGAAAGTTACTTAGCTTGTTTGGGAGTAAAATCTGTCAAAGCTTACTGCCTTTAGCAGCATTTAGTTTTCAGAACTTAGGAATGAATAAGCTGAGTTGAAAAAGGTTGCATAAGGCTTGATTGAAATCCTTTGTGTTTGATGTAAAAGTTTCCATTGACTTCACTGGGATTTGGCTAGGCCTTTTGGGAATAATTTTGCAAAATGGAAATCAAGCTTAGGTTAGGTGACTTTTTGGCCTCTACTAACTGGGCTTCTTTGAAAGGGGATATTTGTAGGGATAAATACCCTTCCCCCTCTCACTTCCCCCCCCAAGCCATTTCCTGTTTCCTTACACTGAGAACTACTTAGATAGATCAGCTTCTTGTGTGTTTCCACAGTAAAGAAACACAATCCATTTTAGGCACTTTGATTATGGTCATTACATAATTTTGCCATAGTCCTTTAAAGCAGGCATTTTAGATCCCTGTGGATATTAAAAAAGATCAAAAGTCTTAAATCATAAAGGAGAAACCTTCTCTTAAAGAAGTTAGTTGCTCTGCAAATTAAATGGGGCCTGTTGTGTCAAGAAGATAGGCTTGAAAAGGAAAAAGAAAAAGCATCTTCCTTTTACAGATCTAAAAGAACTCAAGCTGAAACAGTGAAACTGAAAAGGATTCAGAAGGAGTTACAAGCCCTGGATGACATGGTGTCTGCTGACATTGGCATCCTGCGGAACCGCATTGATCAGGCCAGCTTGGACTACTCCTATGCCCGGTAGGTGACAAACATGGAGGAGGGAATAGTCCTGCCTGAGTGTAGACAGAAAATGCTATTTCCTGCACCAAAGTAGTAATGGAGTTTTGTCATTGTAGTAATGCGTAGTTGAAGTGGTCACAGTCTGGGGATCTTTCAAATCTTGAGGTAAAAGTGTGCTTTTTATTTCCTAATTTTTCCCTTGTAATCTGGAAACTCAAGAGGTTTTCTGACTGCAGACTGCTTTCCAGCTTCATGCTGTCACAAGACATACATTGCTGCTTTAACTGTGCAGTTGTCCGTAAGCCCTGCTTTACTGTTTCAAGGTTGTTTGTTTCTTTTCAGGGGGGAAAGAGTTGAGGTTTTTTAAACTCCTACAAGGAAAGTCCTTTTCAGGGAAACTCGCTTGTTGATGACAGCTCTGGTCCTGTTGGAATCAATGGGACCAATTAAGCTTAAAACATGTAACACTGCTGAAATGCTTTTGGAACTGGGACCACAAGTTGAAGAAAAAAGCAAGCTTTCATCCTTCACAATGTGCCTTTAATCACTCTGGTTCTGATGAGTTCTTGAAATGCAAGAAATTAATCAGAACACACTATTAGTTGTGGGTAAACCACAACATCAGTAGATAAACATCGGCATGTTTATGTAGCCATTTAATAAAATGGAAATGGTTCGGTTCCGGTTTTTAGTTCACAGTTCAGTGTGTTAAATGTATATTTCTCCTTAGGACTTCTGCTATACTAATTAGTCTTTGAAAAAATAGCAGCAGTAGCTAAAAATAAGTATTATTTTGTGTAATTATCATTTGAAATATCTAAGATTAACTGTAGTTTCAGTAGCTGAGTTCATATTAATACAGAATTTCATACCCTCAAGAGGAAAAACATTTCAATCTATTTTAGGTTTAAGTCTGATTTCTAAAACCATTAAGTGCTCCTTGAAATTTCCTTGCCAAAATTTGGTAATAATTTGTCTATTTGAAATGCTTACTCTCTTAGGAGTGTATAACACAAGTGGCTCTGATGCTTAGAAAACAGTTTTTAACGAAGATAACAAAAGGGCATGCTGGTATGATGATAAACTTTACAAAATACTTAATAACATTCATGAACTTGGCAATTCTGTCTTTTTGTGAGTGAGGGATTTGGAAACGTGAGTTAGGTGCTTTGGTGTTACAGTTTTTGTGCATTATGAGCCAAAGCTGGTTTGCTTTTAATTGGTGTCTTTTTAAGCAGTTTTTTAGTTGTTGCCTTTTATTTTAGGGCTAAAACACAGATTATTTCATTAGGTCAAAAAACACATTATTAAACAGTCCTGAGCACATACATAGCTAGGGGCATTTGACAAATGCTGTGGAATGCAATTTTCATAAGTATGATATGAAGAATATGTGTGAATTCAGCTCAAAGGTTTAGCTATGCAAAAGCTTCCAGCATAGAGTTAGTTTTTCCATTTCAGATACCTCAACCAGGGAAATCTTTACTTTCTTGAGAGGGAAACATAAGTGGGCATCTTCTGCACACTGCAGACATAGCCTTTACAGCTGGGTCTAAGTTTTGTGGTTAGAGCATATTTGGGAAGGGGTTTCTATGTCTTATTTCCTTCTGTTTCCCTAAGCAAGGGAGTTCTTCTGTCTTCCTGTTGCTTCATTTAACCAGATATTTGAATCTGGTTTTATAAAACAGCTGGATTCTTTATTCAACCACCTTACTAATATTAGTTTTATGAATGCTCTGTAAGATACATCATGTAGTCATTCTGCAAAAGCTTTTTCATGTTCCGTTTCCTGATGAGCAAGATGTCATCTCTTTCTACTAAGTAAATCAGAATGTATGGATTCACTGAATGTAGTGGAAGATGCATCACTAATGTGGTCACTAACCATTAAAGTGCTAGATATTCTGGAGGTGTTAATCTCAACAAATATTTGGAATATTTCTTTTTTGCTGTACTTGTGATGACAAGAGGTGCAAATTGGCAGGTGTGTGTTGGGTGGATGCTTACAAGAAAATTCTACATCTGTTGCCATGCAAAAGTTGTGATCACTATTGCTGTCATATGCTGTGTCAATCTGTGCTGCTCATGATTTTTTGAACATACATATGGGTGGCTGGAAGGGTAGAATTTTAGACCAGATCTGAATCTGTAGCACCTGTAATTGTCGGGTGGATGGCTGGATTAGAAAAACCACAAAACTGTTTTGCAGTGTTTCAGTTCACTAGGTAGGTGTTCATTAGAATTGTAAAGTACTAGTATTCTGATGGTTTCTGCTGCTAGTGATGCATCTCTTAAAATAGGCAGTAAAAATGCTTGTTCGTTATTCAGTCTGTAGATTTCAGACAAGCAAATTAACTCTTGGAATACAGGAGCAGTGGAGAGGCTAATGTGTCAAGAGGAGAAGATTTGATTAATTCACACTTACTTTCTTCCCTTTTACTAACATAGAAGCATATCATAAATAGCTGGCATAATGCATTGCAGAGCACACTGCATTTCAGGGGTGCTTAAAGTATCTGTCAATGTGTCAGATTATAAAGTGTTTTGAGAATTAACCCACTAGAAATGATTATGATTTTTGCAGGAAGCGGTATGATAAGGCTGAGTCGGAGTATGTGGCAGCCAAGCTAGACCTCCAACACAAGACAGAGATTAAGGAGCACCTCACGGAGCACCTGTGCACAATCATACAGCAGAATGAACTTCGCAAGGCCAGGAAGCTGGAGGAGTTAATGCAGCAGCTGGAAGTGGAGGCAGATGAGGAAAATCTGGAACTTGAGATTGAGGTGGAGCGGATGCTGCAGCAGCAGGAGGCAGAAGCAGGGAGACAAGCCAGCCAGTCACACAGTCATGCTGGGACAACTAAGGAAAACCTCACTCCCAGTGTAACAGTGCAGGAGAGTGAACACGCTAATCATGCTGTTGCTTCTCCTGCTATTTCTGAACAGTTGCTTCAGTCTCAAAACTCTGGTACCAAATCCCTCTCCAGTATGGACAGCCAAACTCGGGCAGTAAATGTGACTCCAGGAAACTCCCCAGCTTGTTCTGCTACATGACTTACTATGTTCAGATAAGCCAGCCGGTTATGGTTGATATACTCTCTGCAGGCTTGTGTGCTGTATGTTATCTGGGCTTCTGCAGTGCCAGTAATATGCACTTAATTTATCTTTTCCTTTAATATGGTTCTCAAATTTTAAAGGTGCCTTTTTTTTTTTTTTCTTCCTCACAAGACTCCCTTTTGGGGTTTACCATCTGTCATCATCATTTTGGTTTAAGTTCAAGTTCTAATGCCCAGCTTTTCATGAGGCTTTATGCCTTCCTGGAAGAGGATACTTGGAAGCAAACGGCAGGGCTTTTCCAAAGGCTTTCAGCATCTTGCTATTACAGATACCTGTTGCAAACAGTGTGCAGGAGGTACATATCTACAGGAGAGAGCATCACAACTTAGGCTGCTCCTGAATACATTCTGTCCCCTGACAACTGCATTAGGATGTTTGTCTTCCTTTGTATCTGTAAGGGATCGGTTTTCAATGTTTTTTAATCCTTTGAAACCCAAGTGCTTGCTTTAATTGTCTTTGTAGCTGATCCTCTCTCTTGATTTAAAGTAAATTTGCATGTTGAGGCAAATTGCAAAGTCAGTTGTATTATTTCCTATTTATCACTTTGCCTGTTTCTTCCAGATGACACTAGATCAGACAAAAGCTATGTATTGCTAACATTATCTATGAAATCACAGCAGCTATGATTTAGCAAAAATTATGGGTTACAGTTTAAGACGTTATAGGATGTATCATGTAGAAGTAGAAACACACCAAAGAAAGTATGTTACAATTAAAACTGTTCCATTACAAACATTTTTCCTCTGTCATAGTTGCCTCAAAGTTCCAATAATTAGACAGGGATCTTGAAATTAATAACTCCCACAGGATATTGGAATTGAGCCCATTTTTGCATAACATTCAGTGCATTTTCTTGCCTGAAGTGCGAGTCTGTACCCCACAAGAAGTTCAGCTGGTTGGTTCTGTTGCTACTAAAAGGCTTCAAAAAGCTATTCCAGGTGGACAAAGTCTCAGGAATTAAAATAGAGGACATAGGCAGACCTCCCATAGACTGATTGCAGCTGCAAACTATGGGGACTGTGTTCATAATTAACTACTTTGTAACAGAGGAAAGCTGCTTTCATTGTGGAAATGGTTTCTGTAATACCTGATCTGAACATGTCAGTCAGAGTTTACGAATCAGTTACTGAATGATGGCATCAAGTATATAAATGGGACGCTGTCTCTATGGCCACTGTCTCTATGGCTTTAATAGTGGAAAAACATGTCACTACATTTCATTTTTATTCTGTTAATAAATCGTTGCATCTTCTACACAGTGTGTTTACTTTCAGTTGTGATATCTGACACTAATACGCTTATTCAGCATTGTTTTCCACAGGAGCAGGTAAATGACAGAATCAGATATATCCCTTGGCAACTTGCCACTGTGTGAAAGTAAATCGTTGAAAAAAGCCATTCCAAAATACAGAAACCTATGAAGCAAAGACATGGCAGGATATGGTTTGGCAGGAATCTTTTCAACTAACTATGGCCCAAGGCAGCAGTTGAAAATCTCTACTGGTGAGTCCCATACAGAGGAGAAAGAAATCTGTTTTGTAGCTGCTCACAATCAGGGCTGATTGAAATTAGAAAACTCCAAAATAACATTTGAGATAATGTATGAAGCATTGCTGTACTGCTGCTGATACACTGCATTCCCTGTTACTTTGCTGGAAGACCTAGTCTAAAAGCTAAAGATTTTACTGTATTGTGAGAAAATTGTGACTAACTTCCTTTGCTGTGTCTGCAGTTGCCGAACAGCTTGTAGCAACCTGATTATGGCTTTCAAAACTGGATGTCAGTAAGTGCTATAATAATTTAATTGTACCATTCTTGTTTCCATCTTCTGCAGCTGTCCCTAGTTGCTTCTCAAGTGAGTCTGAGTCCTAGTGGATAGGTCTGTTCCTTGTTACAATT